TAAATAAATAAATAAATAAATAAATAAATAAATAAATAAAAGATTACAATTATGGTGAAAAGCTGCTATACCATTTCTCACAGTAATCCTGAAGTCCCTTCAAATTAATGCTGTTATGCCTGACATTATTAGTATCCATGCAATTCTTATTGTTCATTAATCGTGTGCCAGGAGTGTTTGTTTATGAATCTCTGAAGCCCTATAGAAATCCTTATCATTTATTTTGACTTTGCCACTATATAAGTAATATTATAAATGGAATTGAATTTTAATATAATGTCTATTGTAGCACTGCAAGTGCACCCAGCAAGTAATAAAATATAGTAATCATTCATGTTGCATTTTAATTAATAAACTTCAGACACATTATAGGGCTGTTGTTTTATAACCATTGTTAACATCTTTCATTGTCACTGTAGGTAATGATCCATAGGGCTGTTTGCACAGCACACTTTTTCTACTTAAAGATCTTGTATCTCCCTCCCTCCATTCTTATAGCTCGGGAGCCCTTTTGGAGTTGTGTTTGAAGCAAAGCTGATGGACGTTCTGAAGAAAAAAAGAGAACCGTGCCTCTGCTTGCTTGGATCCATTTTGGATCGTAGTCATCCTTTCCAATAATGGAATAATGAAACAATAATGAAAAAGATTACTTAGGTGCCTTGGTGTGTGAGATGGCAGCTACCTACTATCTGTAGCTTAGGTTCTCAATGCAGAAAAAAAATCTGTAAAGTCAGCACAGAGTCACGTCTAAAACTATTTTGCCTCATCTAATGCAAGTCATTGTTCCATCATATCTTTTGCATTTGGAATTTGTTTTTGGAGATCATTAATATTAATAATAATAATAATAATAATAATAATGTGTCGAAACCACCCAGTAGCTGAAGCTTTCTTGGTGGTTCACAACAAAAGATAAAATACAATAAAAATAAAATAAAAATTAGTGCAGTAAAGCATCATAAAAATACAATACAAAATTTAAAACCCAAATTTTAAGAGCTGCAGTAGCTTTTTCGAAGTCACAAGACTTGTTAAACACTTGACAATGCCCCAATATAATATAAAACTAATTCAGTGCCTTGTCATAGAGATTAATCTTATCCTGGAGCTGAAAAGATATCAAGATTGGTGGCAGGGGGTGCCTGTTACCCGCATGAGCACCACCACCATCTTTATTCAGTCCCTGCTTTTCGGCACATCTAACTGCTCTTGTAGATTCCACAGAACAGTATAGCATTACCGTATCTAACACCAGGTCAGACTGTTTTTTCTCTACCAAGTGTATATTTGTCCTTGTTCTTGAGATTCCACTCAGATATAAAAACTTACATACTTAAAAAAATACTTAAGGTAAAATAAGTATTTTGTAATACTTATGCCTGTTGTCATCAATGCTTGTTAGAAGGTGTGTGTAGGATTTAAATTGCCAGATTTCAGAGTGAAGAGTATAAGGAGTTTTTGTTAACCTTCTATTCAACAGTGGTGTGTTTTCTTACAGCATGGCTAGAACATGGCCATTTGCTCTTCATTGTTTATTATTTCTGAGAGACAAAAGCAGCAGTGTGTTACTGTAACGGCTGCAACACAGTCATGCCCTTATTTTCAGAAAAGAAAATGGGCCGTGTTCTCAGTCGCTGGTCTGGGAGATGTTCTGAGCTGCGATTTATTGCTGAGCTGCTTCTGCCTTTGTGTCGTTAATTATAGTTTACAGAACGTTAGACTATATTTGTCTAGCATTTGTCACCTGCATTCAATATTTAAAAATTTCCACCCCAGACAGTAAGTGAAAGTGAGAGCTTTGAGTTGAATAATCCACCTTCATCTAACCATTTCTATCCTTCATTAGTGTTGAGGCACTAGAAATTAAGATGACAATTAACAACCCCACCCCCAGGATGCTTTTCTGGAAGAAGTTGCGGAACATGGCAGCTCCTGAGCATTTGATTTGGGGCACCCTCCAAAGCAGTGTTGGTAGTGTCATAGGAGAATGCAGTGGGAAGGAGGAGATGGTAAAAGTTGGTTGTCTCCCTTCCTTCACTGGATTGCAGCTGCATTCTGTTCATGGATGGGCAATTTCCATTTGTGGACCCAACCCTCTTATGAATTTTATAAATTGTGAAAGAGAGAGTGCGACCTTCTGCATATGGAATCTCTTCAGCAGCGTATATGCCTGAATGAAGCCCAGGGACAAGCTTTGTTTCGCCACTGGAAAGTTGACCATCTTGGGCTAGAGCAGGCTAGAATGCTGCCATGGCAATCTTAATAGAGGCATCTGGTTTCTATACTTCTCAGCAATATCTGCTTTCACTGACCATGGTTATCATCATCCTCATCCTCTCTCCCATGCAGAGTGAGCTAACAAACTGTGCTATGAGTAAGTTTAAAATTGTGTGTGTATAAAGCCAGTAAGTTGTGAGAATTCTTGTAAGCCCTGAGATAGGGCTTCTAAGCTGTAGTTCCCCTATGTGCAAGACTAGGTCAAAAGCATCCATTACATGCTTTAGCATTGCAGTCATGTTTCAAAGTAAGCCATGGGTTCATGTGCTCTTTTTTCTTCTCCAGCATGACTGCAAGAAGTTCAGAAAGCTTTGCTTCTGTTTTATACTAACCACAGCTTGCAGTGTCATTTGTACCTAGTAAACTGTGGTTAATCTTGACTAAGATTGCTTAAACTGCGGTTTACAAAGCTGGTTTGTTTCACAGAATTATATAATTGGAGAGGATCTTAGAGATTATTGTGACTTCCTGCAGAATGCAACTACAGCATCCTTTTTATACTTGCAGTGCGAGAGGCAAGAAATCTAATTCCTATGGATCCAAATGGACTTTCAGATCCTTATGTGAAGCTGAAACTTATTCCAGATCCTAAGAATGAAAGTAAACAAAAAACAAAAACCATCCGTTCCACCCTTAATCCACATTGGAATGAGACATTCACATTGTAAGTTGGATTGTGATACTTTTAATCATATTTTTGATTGTGGATATTTCATTATTTTACATAAAAATCTAAGAAAAACAACTGTTTATTTTCTTGTTTGCAGTAAATTAAAGCCTACAGACAAAGACAGAAGGTTATCTGTAGAAGTCTGGGATTGGGATCGAACAACTAGGAATGATTTCATGGGGTCGCTTTCTTTTGGGGTCTCAGAACTCATGAAATCACCAGCATGTGGATGGTAAGAGGTTCCTTGACAAATTAAGTTATTAATACAATCCATAAATCAGTAGTAAATAAATCTATAGTAAACTGCTTTAAATATTTGTTAAACATATCTTACTTTAAGAATGTGCTGTGTCAAAACCCTCACTCATTAGAGTATAAGTAGGAAGGATGAAAATTGTACATAAACATTATACATAAATGGCTTGGCTTGGCTTGGCTTGGCTTGGCTTGGCTTGTGTTTTGAATAAAACACACACTGGAGAGCCAGCATGGTGTGGTGGTGAGAGTATGGGACCTGGAACTCAGGAAATCTGGGTCCTAGTTCTCTCTCAGCCATGAAACTTACTGGGAGACTTTAAACCGGTCACAGATTCTCAGCCCAGCCTACCTCACAGGGTTGCTGTTGTGAGGATGATATTGAGAGGGGGCAGAGTATTATGTAAGCTGCCTCGAGATCCTTGGAAGGAAAAAAAGGCAAGATATACATTTAATAAATAAATACTGGGCAGGTTTGCACATTATGATAACCCACCCTGGCAGTAAGCCTCAGTGGATTAGTTGTTCCGTGAACAACCCGACAGACAATTAAGCTCATTGTAGGTGGCTTGCTCCCTTCCTCTCCCTCCTCTGACTTCCGCTTCAGTCCTCTAGGTGGTATCCCAGGGGACACCTGAATTGTCCCTCCTTCCCTGCCATGATTAAGAGCTATTTTTGACTTCCTGCAGATTTTCCAGAAGGGTAAAAGTGCAGCCCTTACATATTTACCATGCATTGCTGTATAAGTTCCTCTTCTCAGACTAAGGCTGCATAGCAGAGCAGACTTTCAAATAATTGCTTTGAGCTGATGAGCTTTTATTGCAACACAAGTTCATACCACCACTGTTTTTCAGCTTAGCGCCTGAAAAATGATTTGCATCTGTGTCTTGCTGTACAACTAGATATAGATACAGAGTACCAGATACATAAAACCATTTCCTTATGTTCTGCAGGTACAAGCTCCTCAGTGAAGAAGAAGGCGAGTATTACAATGTTCCAATACCAGAAGCTGATGATGATGGAAATGCAGAACTGAGACAAAAGTTTGAGGTGAGCACAAATTGTAGTCCACTCCTGTTTTTCCATGATGCTCTCTGTAACAGACAGGAGTAGCTTCCTGTCCCAGGTTTTGGACATTCTGTCATGGATCTTCAGTAAGCTCTCCTCTGAGATCAGCTTGCATGATACTTGTCCCTGTGATAAGTGTTTCAACCTGTTGTGACAGCAGATCATATGACGGAGTTGTTAAACAGTAAAATAAAATGTTGCTACTAATACAGCGAAGGGGGTGTAGATTCTGAATCTAAGGATTCTAGTCTCTTTTCTGAGTACTTTTTTATTATACCATCTTGCCACAGAATAAAGAAACCCTCTGTCCCCATGTGGAAACAATATTGTTTTCCTTGGCAGCACTGAGCTACTACCCTTTGCCATATTTCTAGGATCAAAAGCAGGCTGATTGCCTGATTTCAGCTTTTGTGACTCTCTTTGTCCTGCTGCAGTAAAGTTCAAATAATTTAGTACGGTCCATGACTGGATTAAGAATAACAGATATACATACATATGAGTGTGTACATGCACACAGGTGCATGTGCACTCATGGAAACATAAGAATAATATCCACAGTATACCAATCAAATATATGTTAATTGGCCTCTTAGCTTAATTTCAGCAGAAAAAAATCCCATTATAGGAATATTGTTGGCTAAACAGATAAACAAATTGTCTCTGCAAGACAACTTAGTTTAATACAGATGCAACAGCTTCCCTTGCACTAGCCCATATGAGGTTCCAGTTTTGTAAGATTTGTATTACAGTCTCTCTTGCCCCTGAACTGCAAGACAATCAGGTTGCAATAAAAAATCAGTGTCTCTAGCAGGGCAGATGGTAGAACATTAGTACAAGCCATATAAACATATGACGCTTATTAACATACATAGTTCTTAACTGATAGCCCATTTACTTGTAATGGGGAATTGTATACCAAAAAGGGAAGGAGAACATTTTTTCCTGCCAGTGATACCAGATTTTGCCATTCAGTATCATAATTTTAACAAAACTTGTTTTGCCTTTTCCTTAAGCCAGAGAAAAAAATCCAACGGAGAAATACACATTTCCATTATTTTACACCATGCAGCCTTCTGTTATCAAGATTCAGCATTTTATTAGCAGCTGTATATGATTTGTTGTTGTTGTTTTTTTTAAATTTCACTTCTCACTCCAATCTGTGGATGGCACAAGTTTCTGCTCTAATTTTACTGCTTTTTCTTCTTTTTGTCCTTTTCTGTGTGAAAGAGAGCTGGGTGATGGGTGGAAAGGTGGGGGACTTGGAAAATGTCTGAGTGAGTGATGAGAATGGGTAAGAAAAATATGGAGTCAGAAAAAAGATGCCTGTTGAGGAAGATGAGAGTAGGGTAAGAATCATGGAAGAGAGGAAGATAGTTTGAGAAAGGTCTGGAAGAAATATTGAAGAGAGTGATGTAGGGAGAGAGATTCTAAACAGGGACCTGATGAGATTATTGATAGAGTAGCAGGAGAGAGATTTTGAAAGGGGACTAGAGGAAAAAGCAAGGTAGATATGGTGGAGAAAGCAAAGAAAATTTTTAGGACTCTGGATGGGGGAAACATCATCTAAAAAGGACAGTTGCTGATGTTACGTGCCATCAAGTCACCTTTGAATGAGTATCTTCCATAATGTCAGCAGCCTCTGCTCAGCAGTGGTAAATTCGTGATGGCTTCCTTTTGGAATAGAGCCTTCTCCTATTTGGTCTCCCTCTCTTTCCACAGCCGTAACTTTTTCTAGTGTTATTGGCTTCTACGGTGGATCTTGCCTTCTCACATGTCTGAAGTACAACAACTCCAGTTGTTGTACAACAACTCCAGTTTTACTTTCAAGGAAGGTTGTGGCTTGATTTGATTTTTCCTCTTTTCTCTCAGCCCAAAGTATTTACAAAGCTCTCCTCCAGCACTATATTGAACACAGCAGTTATTCCTACCAGCTCTCTTCACTGTCTGGCTTTCACACCCGTACATAGTGACTGGGGATAAAATACTGTGGATGATGGTGGCCTTGGACTCCAGTGAAACATCTTTACATTGTATGATCTTTCCTAGTTCCTCCATTGCTGCCCTTCTTAGTCTCAGTATTATTCTGATTTCTCCACAGTAGTCTCCATTTGAATTGATGACTGAGCCAAAATATGTAAAATCTTTCAGAATTTCAGTTTCTTCCTTGTCGACATTAAAGTATTTCTTCTGTAGTCATGATGTTTGTTTTCTTAATGTGCAGCTGCAGTCCTGCATTTACACTTTCGTCAGGAGTTGTTTCAATTCATTGCTGTTTTCTGCCTGTACTAGGGTATAATCTGCGTCTCTTAAATTGTTTGTTGTTGCATCTTTTGCCAACTTTCTCTCCTCCCTCTGACCCTAATCCAGCTTTCCATACGATACATTCTGTGTATAGATTGAACAGACAGGGATTCATTACTCCCTTCTCTGACACCTTGGCCTGTGTGTTCTCCACATTCTGCCTTAACAGTAGCTTTTTGCTCTCGATGCAGCATTTCAGAACCATCCATAACTTATTGTGATCCATCCAGTCAAAGGCTTTGCCGTAGTATATAAAGCACAGACTGATCTTCCTCTGAAATTCTTTGATGTTTCTCAGCAGCCAACATATATTTCCAATATTTTCTTTCCAGAATCCAACTTGAACATCAGGCATTTCTCATACCATACAAGGCGAAACTTTGAACGTCATTGTGCAATAGTCCTGTTAATGCTACAGTTTTCAGCATCTCTTTTCTTGGGAATTGGAATGTATATTCAACTTTTCCAGTCTGTTGGTCACTGATTGTTTGGCACTTCATTAATCAGGATTTGGGCAGATTCAGTCTTTGCAGCTTGGAATAGTTCTACTGGTTCCCTATCTACTCTGGGTGCTTTATTTTTCCCAAGTGTTTCACTTTACTTTCTTATATTGCAGGCCATTTCTCATGGGGTTCCTTTTTGAAGGAGTCTGTCCTCTTTTTACCTCTTCTATAAGTTGTTTCCACATTCTCTTTATTTTATCCAAGTCAGACATCATGTTCCCCTCTCCGTCTTTCAGCATTCTTTATCTGGGTTTGAATTTCCCTTTTGTTTCTTGGATGTTCTAGAAGCAGTCTCTTGTTTGCCTCTTTTGTTGTTTTCTTCTATTTCTATGTGCTGACCATTATAATAGTTCCTTTTATCTCCATGTGATAATTGCTTGAAAAGTTGCATTCAGGATTCTGACCCTATTTCTGACAGCTTTTAATTTTGCTTCTCACCTGTCCTTACCAATTGTGGATGTTTCTTCTATCACTCATCTAGGCTTTTTTCCTCTTTTTGCTGCAGGAATTGTCTTCTTGCATTCTCCTCTAAGAATGTCTCCGGTTTCAGTACAGAGTTCTTCTAGTACACAGTTAGTTATGTTCAGCAATGCCAATCCATTCTTTAGTGATCTATTTTAGCTTGACTCTTATTTTTGGTATTAATAGTTCATGGTCACTACCACAGTGTGCTTCTGGTTTTGTTTTTGGCAGCAAGAATGCAATATTCCATCTCTTACTTCCAATAGTGTAGTCTGTTTGCTGTCTGTATTGGCCATCTGGTGATGTCCATGCACACATGATGTCCATATATACAGTTGTCTGGTTGGTTGCCTAAAGTTGCAATAAAAAGATGGTTGGCTTCACAGTCATTCTATTCTCCTACTTTGTTTCTCACCACAAGACACATTCTCCCACAAGAAGTGACTCCACTTGGTTTCCTACTCTGGTCTTCCAGTCACCCATGCATATCAGCATGTTTTGTTGTGTTACCAATTTGCTCTTGGGCACTGGCATAGGAGTTTTGATTTTCTTCTGTTTCAGCCTCTACTGTGGGAGCATAGACATGAATGATGGTTAAGTTGATGGGTTTTCCACACATTCTGACTGACGTGGTTTGGTTGGACTCTGCACTGTAGCCCCTTCCTGCCTGTGCTGCATCTTGCCTCAGTATTGGAGCCACTCCACTACTTCTGAGCTTGTCATTTCCAAAGTAAACACTTCGTGTTTGTCTGACTGAAAATGTCCCATTCCAGCCCACATTCGTTTGCTCACACCGAGTATTGCAATGTTTAAGCATTCCAATTCTTGTTTTATGGTTTCCAGTTTGTCTTGATTCATACTTGTCACACTTCATGTTGCAACTGTATGTGTTGTGCAGCATCAGACTTTCCTTTCACCTTTGTGCATGTCGGCCACTAGACTTCCTTTAGTTTTGATCTGGTCACATCATGAGTGACAGTGGTATTTGTCCTTGTCCTTTGCTCTTCCCCAGTAGCTGGTTGGGTGCCTTCTGACCTGGGAGTCTCATCTTCTGGCACTATCTCTTGTTTCATTTTGGATTGTTTCATCATAGGGTTTACAAGGTAAGAAATATTGAGAAGTGGTTTACCATTGCCGCCTTCTATGCAGTACTAACCAGCGTTAGCCCTTGCCTATGAAAGGCCCTGCACCAGCACCACCTTCAGCTGCTGCTGCTGCCCAGTAGCTGCCCTTCAGGAGTGTCTCCACCCCCATCTCCATTTCTCTTCCGCCAGCGTGACCTTTACTCCTGAAGAAGGTGGATGCATTTGAGTCTGGTGTCTCTGCTTCGACTTTCTGCCTTGGGTGAGCCTGCTGGGTGACCAGCCTAGTGTGGCGGCTTCACTCTTGGCTCCTCTGACACTCTCAGTCCCCCTCACCGTGTGAAGCTGTGCTGCATCCAAGGGTGGGAACAAGGACATTATCGGAAGCATTTTCTTTTAATGCATCATATTAACTGTGTGTGTGGCAGAGCATGCAGAATTATTGTGTTTTAGTGCTTTGAGTAGTAATGTGCAGAATGCTTTTTAAAATGCTTAAGTTTCTTTCTAGGTATATCATGAACTGCTTCTGATGGTTTTCACAGAAAGTGGGCCATGTTGCAATATTGTTAACAGTGAAGAATTACACTAATGGAAATGTCAATAAACCATGAAATATATGGACACTTTTGAAATG